CCTTTAGAGCTGCCAAATAGGCTACTAACTCTCCCCAAGCCTGCCTGAATTGTCCCCTCCCCCAGGAGGTCCTTCCAAAGTCAGTGGATTGGCAACTTCTCCAGTCACAGTGGGCAAAAGTCCTCCTGCTAGCCTCTCTACTCCACACTGACATGTGTTTATCCTGTCTCTGGGCAGGAACAAACCCTGGATGGGAGGTGTTCATACCTGGTCTGGGGACTGGTATCTCCCTCGGGGAGGAGGAAGGATGCTGAGTGGTGGCTGGGGCAATCTCCAGCCACGTGTGCAGACTGCCTGATCCAGGAGCCCTTCCCGTGGCTCCTTTCTCATCTCTTTGGCTGTTCCTTTCCTCAGTACTCCCGACCCTGCACATTCTGTGACTGACAAAATTTATTTAGATCTTTGTGTGTGGCTCATAGCTCCCTTCCACTGAGACTGGGTGCTCCTTCTGGACATCGCTTGTGTTTTTTCCCCCACAGGACCTAGCACAGTGCATACAGTAAGTGCCTCCAAATGCTTGGTGATTGAGTGAGAACTGTGGCTCAGCCCAATTTGTCTGGAATAGAGCTGAGGCTTAAATCTCTATAGAGAAAGAGGGATGCATTTCAGGACAAATTAATACTTGAGTGAGGTTCTCTCTAGTGGAATGGTTCAGTCTGTGCCTGCTAGAAAGGAAGGGAGAGTCCGGAGTTGCAGCTTAAAATGAGTCTATTTCTGAGACTGCTACCCCTGCAAGGAGCCTGGGCTCTGAGGAGTAGGAAGTCTGGGTGTCATTGGGTACCGACAGCGCAGGATGGGTTTCTAGAGGGCGGGAAGGACTAGTTGTGACCCAAGTCCCTTACTTCCCTGCTTGGTAGGGGAGTCTCCCCTTCTCCCACCTTCCTTCCAGTCCCGCAGAGAAGACTCACATAGAGAAATGGAAGGCCAGGCGGGAGTATGTTCAACCCATAGGGCTAGATGGAGGACACGGCATGGCATCTAGGAGTGGGGGTACCAATTTGAAAACAGAAACGTCTCCCGCTTTGCAACACAAGGCTGGATGATTAGCACATGGGGAAAACCATGAGCCAGCAGTTTGCAACAAAGCTGGCAGGCGGTTGGAATGTTGATCCGGAGGATCATGTTCCAGAGGGGAGACACCCCTCCCCAGGCCAGGCTGGCGCTCAGGGCGGCTATTTCAGGCTGGGGAGATTAAGGTTGGACCATGACAAATGCACGTGCCTGTTCACCCATGCACGCGCACACACACACATACACATGCACGTGAACACACAGACACTCCTTTTCTCTCTCCTCTCCCATCGTGGCTCCTGTGTTCTGAAGCCCAGACCTGCCTTCTGCACTGAAAGTCTCTGGCTGGCCAGGCGTGGTGGCTCAAACCTGTAATCCCAGCACTTTGGGAGGCCGAGGTGAGGGAATTGCCTGAGCCCACGGGTTGGAGAACAGCCTGGGAAACTTGCCTGTAGTTCCAGCTACTTGAAAGGCTGAGGTGGAAGGATCACCTGAGCCCAGCAGGTCGACACTGGGTTGCCCTGAGCATGCCACTGCACTCCAGCCTGGGCGACGGAGACTCCAAAAAAAAAAGTCTGACTCCCAATCCTTGCCAGTACTGGAAGAGCCCTTGCAAACCCTTGCCCCTACCTCAGTGGGACAGTGGCAGGAGCCTGACCTGGGAATGTAAATGAGGACAGCATGTGGTATGTCCTACTGACCTTCACCTCCTCTGTGTACCCTGGACTGTGCACTGAGCTACATCCATTGTTTCTTCACTTTCTCCATCTCACTATTGCTACCATGCCTCTTTCCATCTCTCTTTCTGCCTCCATTTTTCTCTACATCATCTCCTCTTTCCTGGGTCACTGTATCACCCTGTCTGTTTCTCTTTATTGTTCTTTTCCTCCAGTTCTTCAGTCTGTCTCTACGTCCCTCCTGAATGCTGACTCTCCATATTTGTCTTTCTTTTCCTTTTTATCTTTCTTTCTATTTCTGCTTTTCTTCTTTAGCACGCTTTCTCTCTCTCATTGCATTACGTCTTTTAACAAATACCTACTGGTCATCTATCATGCACAAGACCTGTGGTAGCCACTGCAGAGATCACGTGGGAAAGTGCAATAAGACTATAAAGGAATGAATCTATTTCAAGAGAATATCAGCATGCAGAAGCCTGGGCAGCTGTTTTTAGACCTGTAATAAAGTGATTTGGTGATTTCAAATATATAAAATACTGTCTCCACTCAAAAAGTGCTACCTAGGAGAGGAAAATACACAAGCATCTGTACTATAAAGTCACAGATGATATTTGCCGTTATCAGTTGCTCAGCGTGCTCTGGCAGTTAGTTAAAAGCAGGAAAAGCCCATTCTTGATGAGGGTATCAGGGAGGCACCGTGGGCAAGGAGCCTTGTGACTGCCCTAGGGGAAGAGGCTGCAGAGAAGTGCCGTTCGTCCTGGGGAAGTGTCCCCCAAACCGACAGGCATGTAAGAAGGGTGGCAGCACCTCAAGCAATCTGATTGGCCCAGAAATGGAGGCTGAAGTCAAGACCTAGAAGGGCCTTGAATGTCAGGAGAACGGATGTGAAAGCTGGGGGTGGGAGTGGGGGCGGGGTAAGCAGGGTTTCTGAGCAGGAGAATGACATGAGGGAGGTTAGGAAGACAAACCCAGCAGCAGAAGCTTAGGCCGCGTGGGTGTGTGGGTGGGCTGAGGGATGGCCAGAGAAGACAGCAGAGTAGTTAGGAGCCTCTGCAGTCTCCAGTGTGTAATTACCTCATTTACCCTCCCCCCAAGGCTGAACGAAGCAGGTGGTGGCAGTCAGAGAAAATGAAGGGACATGTTTGAATAATACAAGTAGGAATACCTCACTAAGTGTCCTTCCTCTATTTCTTGGTGTGTTCAACACTCCCCCCCCCGCCCCCACCGTCTGAGTTCTACTTTCCCACTTTCCCAGATCAGAAGCCTTTCAGCAGTGGCTACCCCAGGGCCAGTTTCAACCGCAGGCAGAGATCCGATGCTTCCAGTGATAGGAATCAAAGTTCCTTCCTCTTTCCTCAAAGCTCCAAGGCACTGAGTGCTGGGATTCCCCAGGGGGACTGATTTTCTCAGACAGCATCTCTGAGCTCTTAACCCTCCAAGGGCCCATGTTGCCCTTCTCTGCAAGCCCCACCCCTCCAGTGACCCTGTTCCTGCAGTCCGACCTGTCAGCCTCAGATCCCAACCCTGAGGGGGCCGCAGTGGCTGCTAAATCCTCTGCCCTTCCTTCCTTCCCCCACTACCCTGGTACACCCCCAGCTCCAGAGCTCAAGGTAGAGTTGGAAGGCCCAGGAGGGGAAATCCAGTGCCTCTCCAAGGACCTGATTATTTCCAAAGACTTGTGCTAATTTTCTGATATGATCCTCACATCTCTGTGAGGCACTAAATCCTCATTACTTTTCCTGACCGATGCATTCTAATTAGATCAACACTTAAAAAAAATTCACAATAGCCACAGGATGGCTTTCCATCTCATTAACTCCTCACTTATTATTTTCATGAAAATTACTGATAAAAATGTGCATCTCCATTTGGTGAGGCCTCACAGCCTCCTCAGCTCCTATCTTGCATCTCTCCCATCACCGGGACTGCGCAGCATCACCATGGTAACCCACAATAATAGAAACTAATAAATTACAAACGAGATGCTCGTTGAGCAATTATTGTCCTCTTTTATGCAAGTTTCTTGCTAATTTTGATCATAAGGGAAAGTACAATAAGACTCTGAAGGAATGAGTCTATTTCAAGAGAATATTAGCAAGCAGAAGCCTGGGTAGCTGTTTTTAGATCTGTAATAAAGTGATTTGGTGATTTCAAGTCATAGGAAGAGGAAATAAACTTCTTGCCCCCTGTCCTGGGCAGTACTTACTGTCAAGACTCACAAAGATACCACTGGGGCGGGGTTAATGTGACACTGAATGTATCTTTGGTGTTTGTTGTCAAAATGTGCAAGGATGGCTGGCCTTCTGGAGGTCAGCCTGTCCCATAGTACCTTGCCTCCACCAATCTGGAGAGACAGAGTATGTGGGTTGTTTCTTGGAGGCCTACTGACTAAACAGCACAGATTCCTTAGGCACTGTTTCTTTCCAGCACCTCTTACCACTCATTCTTAGAAAGTTTTCCCATACCCACATGCCTGATTGTCCAATGAGAAGAGACTACTGGAAGCCTCTTGGGGGACCCCCCTATGTTTCTGTCCTGGACTCAGGAACTCAGTGGAAGGGGAACCAAAGTGGTGAGCCTGTGGCTTATGCACATGCCAGTGAGTTGGATGAGAAGGTATTGCCAGGCAGCGGACTTAGTTTGTAGGTTTTAGAAAAACTCTGCCCTGGAATGGAGTGAAGAGCCCATTCATACTCCAAATGTGGAGTCACTATTTCTGCATTTCCCAGTTCCCAGAGTGAAGGTGGCAGGCAAGTCTTGGAAAGGAATGGCTTAAGGTGACAGGCACAGTGGCCCTGAACCTCAGGGGGACAGGGGTGTTGGGGTAGGGTGAGTGCCTAGAGAATGATCAGGAAAGCTGATTTCACCTGTTAGGAGGGCAGGATCCACAGAATGATGACCCTCCCCAAACTCTCCTTCCCAGGAACAGAGAACTCAGCAAGCTGCAACTCTTTTGAGAAGCCTATAGGGCTCTCGGACATCTGGGCCTCTTCCCAGTTCATCCTCCAGGAAGGCTTTCCTTCTTCTTAACTCTCATTTATTGGGATATCTTGGGTCGGGAAGCCAGCAGTTACTTTGGACATTGTCCCTCTCAGATCTGGTAATTTTCTGAGGAACACTGATGCCCTGGCATGGTGGAGTCTGTGCAAAAAGGGAACTGTGCTGCCTGATGGGTATAAAAAGGAATGGGTGAGAGGAGAGCCCACGTGATGAAAGGATCCAATGAGTTTAATCTGAACGTCCCCGAGAGACCCTCCTCTACTCCTGGCTTATGAGCCTGCTTAAGAGGTAGGACCCGGCTCTGTGTGTTACCTGTGAGTGAAGGTTGATGGAGGGCTGGTTGGGAGAGTAGGGTCCCCCGAGGTCATTCCTGAGCAGGTTATCGCTGTGCATCTTGGTTTTGAGGCAGGTGATGTAACGGTTACAAAAGTCCTTGCAGAGTTCGTTGACTTTCTCCAGCTCCAGCAGGTGGATTCTCAGGACCTGGATTGCCTTCACCATCTGGGGAAAGGGAAGAGCGATAAGCCCAAGTGTTTGTGTCACATTCCCCTTGCTGCTTGGATCCACAGCCTTAAACACGCTGGGGGAGGGGAGCCCATCCCTTGCCCTGGACACATGTTTTCTACACTCAGTCTTAGCCAAAAGGCCGAGAAACGATAGGCACGTGCTTTCTCATCCCTATGATTTAAATTCTAGTTATGGTTCTCTGCTGATTATTTTCTTGCTTTGAGCCCTCTGTTATCACAGCTGTTCTTGTATTCTGAGAACAGCACTGGCCTTAGAGATAGAAGGCCAGGTCCAAGCCCTGGGCCTGCCATTTACTATCTGTGTGACCTTGGGCAAGTTGCTTAAGCTCTCTGCGTCTTAGTGTCTAACAAATGGGATAATTATACTCGCCCTAACAACTTTACAGGTTTGTTGAGAGTATCATATGTGGGGAGGTACATGACAGCACGCTGCGAAGTGTGAAGTACTGAACAAGCATAAGGAAGACTGAGATCAGAGTTTCTTGCAAGTGCTCCAAGAGGTCAGGGACCGTCTATTCTTAAGCACTTATTCTGAGTGCTTCATGTGATACAGGTTACCTTGTGGACGCTCCATTGATACTTGCTGACTGACTGAATAATCCAGCATGACTTAACTGGGCACTAGATACCTAACAGTCTGTCGTGGCCTTTACTGTACCCTTTGGACTGTTGTACGTGTGCCTGTTGCCTCTTAAAATGGACATTCCTAACCTTTCCATGGGAAGGAACTATTTTGCGATTGAAACTTTTATCTTTATTATTGTTATCGTAATAAAAAGAAAATACTAGGGAAAGTAGGGAAAACAGTGGGTGAAAAAACTGCCGTTGATCCAATCACCCAACAACCATGATTTTGTTTTTTCCATGTGCATATATTTTAACATAGTTTTAATAACCTGGTACACACAGTTTTATTTCCTGCTTCTTGTCAAATGTAGTTTTCTAAGTGCCAGAATTGTTTTCCCTATCCTCTCTTCTACATTGTGAGCTTTGAGAAGGCAGGGATGATGTCTAATTTGCTCACCATGTTATCTTCAGCACCAACACATATGGATACTGAGTAAATATTTGCTAAATGCATGAAAGTTATTGAGTAAATATATATTTTAAAGTGTTGCATATTACTCCATGTGTGTGCCATACTTAACCAGTCCCCTATTGTTAAGTATTTAGATTATTTCCAATTTTTCAACCTTATAAAAATACTATAGTGGATGTTTTCTAAGCTTATAAGCTTAACAAAAATATTTCTGCATTATGTCTTTAGGATGAATTCCCAGACATGACAGGAAAAAAAGCTATGAACATTCTTTTTTTTTTTTTCTTTTGAGTTGGAGTCTCACTCTGTCACCCAGACTGGAGTGCAGTGGCACGCTCCTGACCACCGCAGCCTCGACCTGCTGGGCTCCGGAGATCCTTCCACCTTAGCCTTCCAAGTAGCTGGAACTACAGGCACACGCTACCACACACAGCTAATTTTTTTGATTTATTGTAGAGATGAAGTCTCGCCAAGTTGCCCAGGTGGGTCTCGAACCGGCGGGCTCAGGCAATTCACTAACCTCGGCCTCCCAGGGGTGGGATTACAGGCTGAGCCACTGAGCCCAGCCAGCTATGAACATTCTTATGGCTCATAATAAATATTGCCAAAGTACTTTTCAACTGGAGGTTATTCAAATGGTGCTGAAGCAATTGGATATCTATATTTTTAAAAATCTTTGATTTAAGTATCATACTTTATATAAAAATTAACTCAAAAGAATTAAAGACATAAATATAATACATAAAAATATAAACCTTTTATTTTATTTTTTTTTGAGTTGGAGTCTCACTCTGTCACCCAGACTGGAGTGCAGTGGCCGCTCCGGGCCACTGCAGCCTCGACCTGCTGGG